GAGAGAGAGAGAGAGAGAGAGAGAGAGAGAGAGAGAGAGAGAGAGAGAGAGAGAGAGATTTATCGATCAATCGCGCTCTGACCAACTTCATGCATAATAATGATCGCAGGTAATGCCGAGGGAATCCTGTCCCGGGTTACTGTTGACCCTGGTGTCGATATTCGTCGGCCTGTGCGAGTCCTCTGCTGCCCCCGGAGCCGCAACATCCGGCACTCAGCAACCACAGCCGCAGCCACAGCAGCAGCCGCCGCCGCAGTCGCAGCAGCAGCATCCAATTTGTAGGCCTGGTTTGGAGTTCTGGTCCACCGAACGCGCCTCGTGCTGGCCGTGTACTCGATGCGCCCCCGAGTTCACCTTAAGTCCATGTGTGATTCACAAGGACGCGATATGCGGCCCACTATCAGCGCTCGAGCTCGACTGGTCCTTCTTGTCATCGACGGGCAGGAAGAGACCCTCGAGAGCCGGTGATGACAATGGGACCGTCACCTCGAACGCGTTCCTGCGGTTCTCTGAGGAGAGGACGAAAGAACGACCCTTCGTGGAAACCGATAATCTCATCAACCCCGGTCGTGAAGGCGACAAGGAGCCGGTCTCCGCTTCGCAGGAATCGAAAGTAATTTCGAATTAGTTTCACAGAATTTTTAAGTCTTTGAACTCATGATCATCAGTTATAGTTTTCATTTTAATTATTTAATTTTAATCGATAGAAAAACTTGTATAGAAAGGAAGGAATATAGAATCGAGAAAGGATGTGACTAATTCCACGGAAAACAGTATGATATTAACCCTCCGGTGCTGACGTCAAAATCTGTAATACAATTAGTGAACTCTGTGAAGCTTATTTAATATATGTTAAAAGGCACAATTAATTTATTATCAATTGACTTTTAAGTCAATTAATTCTTGATTAACACATCGGAACAATAGTTTCTCATATCAAGAAAATCAATCTCCCATTAATAAACGTAAAACAATCAGCGTGCGTTTCGAGTTGGCGAAAGTTGGCCATATTGCTTTCGTTCTATTTACTATGCAACATAGAATCGCATTGCCAAAGTCGATTGCATTCCGTGACGTGTTTCGAAAGTAAATAATAAGAAATAAATCTTATCATGTGCAGTTAAATAATTTTTTTGAAAGAGAAAAAAAATGAATCAATCAATATCTTTTATTTCCTTTCCATGAAATAAAAGACTTCATGAAATAAAAGGCTTGATTGATCATTTTCTTTTTCTTTCACAAGAAAATTATTTAATTGCATGATAAGGTTTATTTCTTATTATTGACTTTCGAAATACGGCATCGAGTGCAATCAACTTTGGCAATGCGATTCTACGTTGCATAGTAAATAGAGTGAAAGCAATGTAGAACCGGCTTTATACAAAAATCTGTGCTCCGATCTGTGTGCCAGCTTAATACGCTGACTTTATGATGCAGACGGCGTATGATCCTCGGGAGAGGAGAAAATCGGCCGTTGAAGACAATCTACCGTGGGACTGGCAGACCGGTGCTCTGGTCCTTGCGGTATGCGCCTGCATAGTATTCTTCCTGGTAGCAGGATGCTCGGCTATCGTCTACGCGAGGCAATGGCGGCGGATGAAGAGAAACTTCGAACCGGGTAAGAGAATATTAAAAGAAATAATATATAACATAGAATAAATCGAAACAATTATTTCTTAAAAACTCGAATTCGCATTCTTCGAATATTCTAATCGTCGTCTAATGGTCTTCATACAGCACAGATTAGTCCAGCAATATTACTCTCTAAATCTGAATCAATGGATAATCATTAATTATCCAGTGGCATAGTTGACACTAATCAGTGAAGTTCAAAAAAGGAAGAATGTTTGAGCATTATATAACTAAAATACTGATATCTGTACGTTAATTTCAATTTGTCGATACCATATTCATTGAGTTTTATGTATTAAAACAAAGTTAGTTAGATCACATAATAAAGATTAGTTAGGGATCTCACATTTAATTTACTAATTACTAGGTGGCATACTGATGTCAGTGATTATCCACTGATTTAGATTTAAAAAGTACAATACACTGAAAAAAAAAATAGTTTTTAAAAAGACATTTATTTGTGAATTATAATGTTTCTTTTACTGAAATAAATCCTTATTTAAGGACAAATACAGCGAAAATAAAATTTTATTTCCAAATAAACCTATTTTATTTTGTCTTAATGAGATATTATTAAAATACGTTTCACAGAAATACTTATATTTCGTCATTTTTTATAATTAATGAACATTTGCTTGCGAATATTTCGATTTTTTTTCAGTGCAACGTTTAAGCAATATTGCAAACATCGCAGCAATGTTGCTTCAGCTTGTGTGTTGTATATACAAAATTTCTTCTCCGCAAAATCTTGAATAATTCATTATCGGTATTCTATAACGGTTTTCATTTTTAATCGCTTGATCATTTTTTGATGTCGCTTAATCAAAATAAGAACAGTCAAAACCAAGTCTTACATAACGTATAACGCATAATGAATAAGAATATAAATAAGATTACAAACAATTAAAATCCTTTATTTTCTTTCTTTCCATAAAAGAAAAGAATCTGCTTGGTTGATTTTCTTATTCAATATGCTTCAATATGCATTAAATAAGAATTTATGCTTCTATCTTAATCGATCGCTATGCATCCGTGATATCCTCCTTCGGAGATGGGGAAGGGAAAGGATCCGTATCTCGCGAAGCAAAGGGAGCCGCGTTGTCGGGATGTCGGCGGAAAGAATACAGGTGCACGTATATATACACGCAAGCCAGCGAGAGACAGAAAGAGAGAGACAGAGACAGACAGACAGACAGACAGAGAGAGAGAGAGAGAGAGAGAGAGAGAGAGAGAGAGAGAGAGAGAGAGAGAGAGAGAGAGAGACAAAGTCCCTTAAAATGCATGGCGGGATTTTCTTCATTAGAGGGCCGATCACGGCCGCTCCTCACCTTGGATCGACCTACCGCGCCCGGATATGACGTTCCCCAACCAACGTCCAGTGCACAGTGCGTAACGTCGCCCACGCCGTCGCGTCGTTATCGTTCCGTGTTTGCTACACCCCAAAATATAAATAACGATTGTTCCTCGAGTGTGAATCGATTAACAGTAACGATGAGCTGACTCTCTATGATTGCTTTCGAGTGAAGCTTCGTAAAACTTTTTTTACGATATCGAAACAACGATATCGTATATTTAATTTTCTTATTAAATCGTTAATTAAAATTAAAATTCATTTTAAAAGATGAAAAATAATTCTACAATTAAATATATTCATGAGATTTTTACTGATGAAAATAGAAAAAAGAAAAAGAGAGGAGTGGAGCTTGTTTCATTCATAATTCCGTTTATTCATTTATATACTTGATATAAGAAATTGAATTATAAAGTGAGTTAATCTTTTTCCGATTTGAATCCATTCACTCTGCGAGTTATGTTGTATAAATTGATCAACTTTAATCTAAGAAAATTTCTTAAATTGATGATATAAAAATGTGATCAAAAATAAAAAAAAACAATCGACTCAAATATCTTGCTAAATGTTTTTTTTAAATTTGTGTGAAAGAAAATTCTCTTGTATCTATTTAGAATATATAATTATAATTATACCCTCTTTTTCAAGAGTGGTTCAATTTTCGCTCTTTAGAATGAGATTCCATTCAAAAGAATTTAAAGAATATTTTGATATTATAATGAAGGAAATATTACTTTTCTCAGAATCTACAGGGCACAAAGTTTTTTGCAAATATATCTACTTTTTAAATGCAAATTAAATTTGAATTAAATCGTTTCAACTTTAAAGATCCTTACATTCACTTTTATCAATTTTGAATCTCGATTTAATTTCTTACTTTTTCTAATTCTAAAAATTAGACGGTAAAGAGTAAATTAAATCGAGATTATATATAAATAAGTTAATAGTAATTTACATTGATAGAATTGGATATTAGCCAAAGTTATCTGAGAAAAAAATGCGTCTTTTTCCGGCAGACACCGTATTTAATCCATATGTATATCGCAGCTCACGTAAGGAATCGCGTAATAACAACTCTTGCAGACACCCGACGGCATGTTGCACGTGTATACGACGTTACTATCTGCATTTGCATAACGCAAAACTGCTCGAGCAGTACGCAGAACTTCTCGCAGGAACTCTCCCCGTCGTCGCTGTGTACGCCTCTTCTTCTCACTCCTTCTCTTTCTTTTCGCCTCTCCTTCTGCGAGCCGACGTATCGCAGTACGTATCGCGTGTACGTTGTGGGAACCGATTCAGCCACGTTTCGTTAATGAACGCCGTATGAATGAAGTCTCTCGTCCGTTCGGCGAGTGCGCGCGTGTATCGCCTTTTAAATCTACACTTTCGGCGAAACTCAGGCCGCGCGTCGTAACGGTGTGTCGGCAACGTGAAAAATACTTGAGGGCAAATTATGTTTCTTTTTCAAATTAAGGATCATTAACAGAATATATTTTAAGACAAAATTAAAAACAAATAAAAATCAAACAAAACGAATGAGAGTACAGATGGTTAGCGATGCACTAATAAAAAACAAAAAGAAATGGAATTGCGAGAAACGAAAACTATAAAAAATTATTTAAAAATTAATATTTTGCAGAATGAATTTCGAATAACCTCGTTCCATGTTTTGGAAAGACATTCTTATATAAAAATAATATTTCGAGGCTACTTCGAGCGTGTTGCACGCGAAATCCGTTGGATTTTATTGTAATTGCAATTTCATTAATATTTATTGCTCGCGAATTATATAGTTAATTAATACTAATTACATATGAATAATCACGTCCGTGCGTGCCAGCGATTTATGTACATTGTACTATAAGTCTAATATTAATAAAAAACAGTTACAATTGCTGCATTTTACTTTGATCGCATTTTGTAATACATGTCATTGCATTGTCGCCGGAAGTTCGTATTATCAAAGTGAATTATAATCGCTATCCTCTCCAAACAACAGTAGGAGAGAGCATTATATTCTTTTTTTATTTTTTCGCTATTTTTAATTTATTTTTCAGAAAATATTTATCTAAAAAGAAGTTTATATTTCATAAGCAAATAAATGAATTGATAGATAAATACGAGTATTTGACAAACAGAAATGAGAGAAACTCTTCCTTAAAAAAAAAAAAAGATTTGTAATATAAACTATACTTCAGTTGGGGCTGTTAAAAGTATATTAGATTATGCTAAAAATTCACGTGTGATATAATTTTATTTTTAAAAATATAGAATAAATACAATCTTTAAAAAAATATACTTAAGAATTTTATTTTAATAAACTAATTGAAATATAATATATAATTTGGAAAAGAATGTGAAAGCATTGCGTTCTAGAATTTAAAAAAAAATAAAAATAAAAACACACACACACACACACACACACATCTGATTTTTTTTAGTTTTTGTTTTACTTATCCAGCATTCAATATATAAACTGGATATATTTATATGTATAGAGATTTTGATCGATTTTATGATATACACCATAGAGAATAATGAAAAATGATGTTATTTTCGCGCCTATGCTTTTGTAAAATGAACATGATTGGCAACCATGAAACGGACACTCGGTATGCGTGTGTAATCGGTACCGTTTGATTGCGGCTGACGGTCGGCCCACCCGGTGCTTCTGATTAGGAATGGCGGTCGGAGAAATAAGAGAGGTCGAGAACTTATGGGGATACTGCTCGGGAGCCATTAGAAGAACCGAACGAATACATCATAGGACTCCGGAGAAAATCGAACCGCATTCCACAGACGTCCTCGACGCATTCCACATCAACTGCACTCGTTTTTATGCAATGCGCGCTGCAAATGCATTTTTACGTTGTCAGGGGATTTTACGTTGTCAAGAGATTTTTCGGATAACATCATCTAATTTGCATATGTGTATATTAATCTACACATTATATCTCCATAAAGATAAATATAGACGAAATATTTACTTAATATATTAATAGACAGGTCGTATTATTGTATTGTAGTGTATTGTATAATATAGTGTATGCAATGATCAGGTGGTGATATGTAGGTAATAAATATTATAAGCTAGAAGAACATATATTGTGATATTCAAAGAAATGTGTGTGTGAAAATAAGAATATTAAGAAAATCTTTTATTTGTTTTTAGAATTAAGTATTAGCAGTGTGGAAGGATGAGTGTGGATAAGGAATTTATGTAAACCAAGTCCCCTTCTTGGCTGAAGTGTATTAAATTCTATTCTATATTAATAAACAAATATTTTTTAATTGATACAATGAGAAAATTTTCTATATAAAAAATTTAAATTTTAGACTGTAATTATTTTTAATATTTTTATAATTTGATTGAATTATTTGAATGATTTATTCCCAAATTATTATTTTAATTTTATATAAAAACTATGAATTAGTATTTTTATTTGGATGATAAATAAATGTATTTTGTGTATAATCGAAAATCATTGTTAACTAATTTTAGTTTAAATTTTAACTTTGCGCTTTTATGACAAAGATATTTTCAAAATTTTAAATTATTGTTTTGATAATTGTAAAATTTTACTCTGATTTAAAGTAAAATTTTTTGAGACCAATTAATAAGTACACTTTATACTTTTAAAATTATAAAAATATGTATATAAAATCTTCAAGCATTTATAAGATTACGCTACATATTAAATTTACAGTACACGAAATAAAAATTACATTCACAATAAGATATTTGGAACAATATATCTTTTTTAATTAGATAGTATTCACGAAACTGTCCGAGAAGAATTTATAATATTTGAAGAATATTTATAGAATGATAAAAAAGAAAACAATTTGACGAATTTAAGTACGTGGCGCATCGCTGATTGGGTTATAATTTTTGTTGCAGCGGGTCTCGAAGAAATCTCAGCCAGATTGAACCTGATGGTGAAAGCGGAGCTGGCCGAGTTGGTCGCAGGAGCACCGATGAATCCAGGTGATCCCGAAACCAGATGTCAGTATCTCGAGAAGCTTTTAGGTAAGCAGAATTTTAAGACCTCTGTTCGTGGCTATAAATCTTTGCGACGATGATTACTTGATGTTACCACCTGTGAGAGTTGGTCATCACTCTTCTCTAAGCGGTTGATATATGTTTAGATAGAGATCGAACACTTGACAGTGCTTAGCGGTAAAGATACTTCCATTCATACACATATTCGAAATATACCGTCAAAAATCAAAAGTTACATATAGCCGGTTATCATACTTAAAACTAAACATACACGTTTATTTTTAAATATTTAAATTATTTCAAATATATATAATATATTTTAATTGAAGAAATATGTTTATAATCATGCAGAAATATTATTAAGCCTTAAAATTTAGTTTTGGACAAAATAGACTCATTTCTATTTATTGTTCGTGTATATTAAAATATTAGTCGAATTTTTATTATTATTTATTTATCTATTATTATAACGTCATATAACTAAATTTTATATAACTAATTTTATTTAATTTTACATTATGTAGAAACGCAAATCTCTTCTCTTATTTAAACAAATAATTCAAACTTCCTACAAATTAAATATCATACACATAAATAGATTTATTTTTAAATATTTTAAGTACTCACTTATTTTACTTGAAAAGTCAACGTGATCGAATTGCATAAAAATATTTAGAATATGAGCTGGCATGTTTCTCAATCTCGACAGGCACGAAGGTAAAATCGAGACATAAAATTCGGTCTGCGTTGTTACTGCTCGTCGCTTTTGCAATCAGCACTTCCATTGCGCGCGATCCGTAAGATGTAGTTGCGTGCACGTTCGCAATGATCATTTTGTGCGCCGAAAGGAAGACCGGGAGGGAGGGGGACCGGACGACAAATGGACGGGTACGATCGCGCGGGGGATGGCTGAATCTCAAGCACACAATAAATTCGCTTAACTCGCACCGCACTTGAATGAGCTTCACACGCGCGCGCGCGTTTCACACGGGGTGATTGTGAAGTACCGTCCGGTTGCCAGCACGCCGGAAGTCTTTTTCTTTTTTTCTCTTTGGAGGCAGGGGCGGGGAATACGCCGCTTAAGTATTAGACCTGGTCTATAATACAAAGAAAGAATGATTTTATTGAAGTCTAATCTAAAAATTTAGTTACATACAGATCTGAAAATAATTTTGTTGAACTGTTAAAATAATTGTGTAAGAAAAAAAAACATGATGACAGTGCTGTAAAAAATATTTATAGTTTAACAATCAATTTGATCACCTTACATAATTATTTTAATGATTCGACAAAATTATTTTCAGATTTGTATCTAGCTAAATTTTTAGATACTACAGCATAAAAAAAATCATTCTTTCCGCGTAGGAATCACAGTTTAAGGCAGTCAGAAATATATATTTTGCCGGAAAAAACATCACAATTTAGAGATTTTGGAGTTTAGGTGTGCCTTCCAATAAGCCACACAGTGATGTCATCTTTGTTTAACATTGACAAATAAGGAGGATGTAATGTATGATCCTTAATTGTATCGCATCGTATCATTAATTGTATCGCTTGTTAAAAGGCACACTAGAGTAGAAAGCTAAAGATCATTGCACTTATTGTAGACCAAGTGTTTTAGTATTAGATCGATTTATCATCTTTTAATCGGTCAAGTCGATTGGAATTTTAGATTGACGACGAAAATCAAGACGATCTAAGATAATCGGTTATACTTATACAATGTATAAGTGAGTGCGGGCGTGGATGTGTTCAAGACATTAGAACGTATCTTCCGCTACGCAGGTTTTTATGCGTGCCAGATTATATATGGCGGGAGGGAGAAGAGGTTCCGTGTTGACACACATACTTGGCACGTGGCTCATTATCGAACTTTCATTCAACGCATTATTCTTTTACACGTTCGTTTCCGTTACGATACGCGATATTTGCATAATACGTAACAACACGTTTCGTATCTTTGTCATGGAGAGTCCGAGTACAGAGAGATGGATATGCATCTACGCTGAGAACAAATATATTCTAATTTTTTAATAAATATTTATTTGAAAAGTAAGTGTCAACTAAACATTTGTTTACAGTAAATAAATATTTACTCAATAAAAAAAACGATAGGTTAAATAAAATTATTTTTGTATTAAATAAATATGTTTAGTAAATATTTACATTTAGTAAATATTTATTTACTACTTAAACAAATATTTATTAAAATTGAGTATTTTTTAATGTATATATATATAGATAAATTTTTAGATATTTCAAAATTATTCTTTTCGTATTGTTACATGTTCTATGTAAATGTATTTCTCTATTTCTTAGAATATAAATTGATACATCATCAATCACTATGATCCGACATATTACTCAAGCCTGTAATTTTAATTTTGCTCTTAAATAAATTAAAACTTTTAACTTTGTAACGAAAACTGAAAACAGTCTTTTTTAAAAAATTTCGATGTGTGCAGAATTAAATCCCTGAGAAAAAAAAATAGTCAATTTTAATAAATATTTACTTACTCTCATAAATAAATATTTCTTCATTGAAAAGAATGATTGTTAAATCAAATTAATGTTTCTTGCATCAAATAAATATGTCTTTATATTTAATAAATATTTAGTTGACAGTATTGAATTAAATATTTATTAAAATTGACTATATTTTTTCTCAGTGCGGATATGGTCTTTCATAAAATTGAAAACGCGCATAAGATTTGTGTCTTTATAAATTGTCCTGGAAATTTCCGAGACGTTAATTTCCGATCTTCGAGCTTCGCCGAAATCGACCAAAGCCGCGTGGTTCTGTAATATCTATCGCATCCGCACGCGTGATAAATTGCAAAGATCGCCACGGGAGAAAACGCGCACGTGCGTTACGTCAGAATGCGGATTTTCGCACGCGTTCGAATCGCACCGCGTCGCGGTATTTTGGGAGATGGGCGGCTGTCTGCGGTAGACGGACGGATCTTAAAACAGACGAGACGGGATGAGACTCGCTATACGGGATGCACTCTCGCCGCGAGAGTATTATTTATTCGTGCGCGAAAACAAAATGACGCAATTGTTCGAACCGTTCAGACCGTTTATCTGTCTTCATTCATCCGCGCAGCGCGATTCGGCGCCGCACGCCGCGCTCTAACTTTAGCGCGCGCCAAAGTCGCCAGCGAGTTTGTGAATAATAAGCACGGTTTACAAGATAGTATGGTAAATGGTCAAAGTGTTTTTTCAAACGAGAGATTGTTTGCTATTCTCTGCCGGAAAGTCGAGCTTATTAGAGATTACAAGACCCACGCTTGCACGCGTGAGAGAAAAGTTCAGTCCATCGTTCGGCCTCAGTATGCGTAATGATAGTCAATAAATAGGCGAGACTGTGAAAAAGATAGATATGCAATGAATTAAATATTATATATTCAATATATATTTCTATTTTTGTTGATTTTT